ACACTTGGAAAGAACTTGAACAATACAAAGCTTCCTGGAATGTATGAAGTCAGTTTCAAATGGCAGTAGCAGACCTTGTCTTAAAAATTATAACCCATCCCCATTGTTTTCCTCCCGTTTGGTTTTCATTTACATCTCCCCTCTGTGTGCCTCTAGCTGTGACAGAGTGGACATCTTGGTTCAACATTGATCATCCTGGGGGTAATGGAGACTATGAACGCCTGGAGGCAATCCGTTTCTATTACAGGGAGAGAGTCTGTGTGAGGCCCACCGCCATGGAGGCTCGCACTACAGACTGGGTGGCCGCGGCAAACACAGGGGAGGTGATCCACTCCAGTCTGGAGAAGGGCTTCTGGTGCATCAACAAGGAACAGCCCCATGGTCGTGTCTGCTCCAACTACCATGTCCGCTTTCAGTGTCCCCCAGGTAGCTCTGATGACAGCAGCTCAGGGCTGTACAAGCTGACACGTCACAGATATAAAAATGCAGCCAAACACATACATGAGTACACACTTCAAATGCTAGCAAGCACTGGCTGCAAAGAGGACTAATGATGAATAATGATAAACCCTCTTAGCTGTTTACAGTGTGTCATATGCTAAATAGCTTGCTTGTTTATTTTTTTTCCCCACTTTCTGCTTGCCACCAGCAGCACATAATGCCAGTTTTGGTCAGGATGTCACTTTCTGTCCTTGAATTTGTGTATTCAGTGCTGAGCTACTGGACTGACTGGAGCGAGTGGGGTCCTTGTTCAACCACGGTTTGCAATGATGTAGGCATCCAGGTCCGCCAGAGGAAATGTGTCAGCACCAACCCTGTGCCTGTCCTGTTGGTGCCAGCATGCCAGGGGCATCATTCAGAGAGGAGGGAGTGTTCCACCCCTCCATGTACAGGTGAGAATGACAAGAGTTACCTGCAACATATGACAGTACTGGAGGTTACACAGTATAACAAGATTACATATGAAACATATAACAAGGAACTTTTCAGCCTGTTGACATGGTTCAAAACAAAAGCTTTAACATCAGATCTTCACATTGAACTGACTACACTGAATCACCATAGTGAATGACCAGATCAGTAGCTTTTAGCAGTGGAGAGCCATTGTCAACTCATCCATGACATGCAGTACATTATTACTTTCTTACATCTCAGTAGAAGACTGCAAATGCTATGTAAACAAGCCACAGAAAAAGTGCTCTTGCAAATAGCTGTTAACCTTATAGTGTGTATACACCTAGATTTGCACAAAATTGAATGTAAAAGCTTGAACTAGCACAAGACTAAACGGACTTCTGAAGACCTGTCAGAATCAGAACCAAATGCCATGGCAGTTATGTCTTTCTTTCATTCAAATTAACCAATGAAATTCTAATCAGAAAGTGATTTGTAACCTACCTCTAATGCTGACCTTTTTATTACCATATAACTGTATAACTGCACCATTTAATAAGCCATTTATTGTCTTGCACACATGGTGTGCCCATGCACTAAAGCGTTAATTCTCATGAGAACACTCTGTATAAAGTTTGAATGATTCAATTAATGAAAAATGTTTTGAACTTAAACTATTATATGTTTCTTATTTATTTACTAACTCACATTGTTCCTGTCTTTATGTGTGATCAGCCATGTGGAGTCCTTGGGGTCAGTGGGGGACTTGTTCAGTGACTTGTGGTGGAGGTCGCAGGGTTAGGAGGAGGACCTGTTTAAGGAACTCAGAGACAGTGCAGTGTACTGGACGACTTGTTGATATACAGAAGTGTGGGAAGAGTCCGTGCCCAGGTATTCAGTCTACACTGGAAAAGTCTTATCTTTCCTTACAATAGTGTATTCAGCCTGTGTTCACACCTCTGACTCTTGCTCCTAACAGCCAAATGCCAGCGCGTGTGCACCGAGGGTCATCCCAGTGAGGACTGCAGCCGCTGTGTGTGTGAAAGCCATGTGCTGCAGGGAGAAGTCCACAGTGTGACTGGTGTTCCTGTGGCGGGAGCCGGGGTGGCGCTCGCCAGCGAGCCCAAGGTGATCCGTGCCCGTACAGATGACAAAGGACAGTTCGGGTTTACAGGAGTCTGCTCTTCCAGCTCAACTTTGATTTCCATCAAGAAGGAGAAGTTTTCCCCAATCACTGTCTCCACATTCAGTAACACCACAGGGTTGTCCTGGGTAACGGCTGTCCTTAAATCAGCCGGTGAGTGCAGATTACTAAAAATACACATATTAAATATAGTGGGATATTATTGATAGAAAATATTGGATTATTATTATGATGACTGTTCCACAAAGCCAGTAAATGATCCAATTATATTCTCAGACTGTAGAAAGCAGGACATTGACAAAGTAACAGTGTAACAACAATGTAAACAGACTGGCCTGTTCTAAAAATGTGGCGTTTACTTACTTGGATGCTTGTAAAGCAAATACAAAATAGGCCTGTGTGTTAAATTTCTTCGCTCTCTCGCTGAGTGGTGAGGGAGAAGCAAGGGGGCCCAGACTGCAGTGTAACAGTTCAGGTAAAAGATGGCTTTATTATAGACTGATAGGTGAGAATGTGTGAAGCTGTGTCTCTAGGCTGGGCAGATGGAGTCAGCAGAAACCATTGGAACCAGGGTATGTCGAGTGGTCTGGGGAAACTGTCACTCTGAGTGGCAGGTCTCGGGCCGTAGGAGCAGAGGGCAAGGCACCGGTCTCTGAGGGAGCACAGGAGAAAGAATATGAGTGAGAGGAAAGGAGTATAGACTCATGGAGTCTGTAAGTTGCTGCTGTAAGCAACCCAGGCAGAGTGGTATTGTAGAAGCAGGGAGAGCTGCTGGTGAACGGTTTGGTTGAAGAACCAGGCAGGAGCTAGTTTTGGGGAAGCAGCTGATGAGTGACCCAGGCTGAGTGATGTTGCAGGAGAGAGTTGCTGAAGAGCTGGGTTGTTGAGAGCCAGGCTGGAGCTTGTTGTGGGGAAGCAGCAGAGGAATGACCCAGGCTGAGTGATGTTGGGGGTGAGAGCAACTGTGGAAACGGCCCAGGCAGGGTCGTGCCGCTGAGAGGGAGGTAATGTGTAATAGTAATGCACGTAGTAATGTGGAGTCAAGCTTGGAAGCTGGATCTTCCCTCTGGTAAGCACAGTGGTATCTCTTTAGAATAAAGATAGTGAAACAGTCTTACTTGAAGCTTGAAGAATATAGGCACTCAAGGAGTGGAGTGCTAATTCTACAAGCGGAGCCCATATCGTGGAGAGGCTTTAACAACAAACTGGCGCTGACCTGCCTGAGTCTTTTGTAGTAGGAGTGTAATCAACAAAATCTCCTATAGCTGTGAGCCACACCCGAGAGCCAGTGTTTGTTGAGGTGATTAGGGAGAGGAGGAGAGGAGAGCTAGAGAGGAAGGGAGCGACTAGTAACCCTGACACTGTGTTGCTGTTGAAAGTGTAATTTTCTTATGCACAGAGACCACTGTCTGAAAAATGTGTAATGTTTGATTGAGTTTTATGGGGTCTCAGTACAAACTCAGTGACATCTTGAAAGTTTGGTCCTTTCTGCTTCCCACAGAAAAGCCATACATTGTGAATCACCCAGAGGATAAGGTGCGCTATGAGGGTGGACGAGTGCTGTTGTGTTGCAAAGCAACAGGATCACCAACACCAGACAAATACTACTGGTAAGAAGAATATCAGTGTTTTTACATTAGCATTCACAATTCAGATTTTTATGCATGTAAATAACAGTTACACTCTCAAAAAAAGTATTAGCATTATACATTTTAAAACATTATATATATATATA